GACGGCAGTGATGTCACGGAAGGCGGGGTATGACATCAGAGCGCATTAGCCTATTTTAATGCGCATGAACTAATTTGCACAAGGCGCCTGTACACGTGACATGCTGTCGTTACAGCGATTAATTGGTGGTAATTAGCAGCTTTGGTACTTCAAGCCGGCGCCGATGCTGGCGGGGCTGATGCACCGGGTGCTTTAATCAGAGTGGCTCTAATTAAAGTGCAACCCTCCCCTCCCCCCCCAGCAGGTATATAACCACCCATCGTGGGTTCAGCCATGCTTTCATGCACATTAAAAGAAGCTAGCGCACGTGTAGACGCACCCGCTGTCTTGCAAAGGTATCACGAGGCATTGTTGGTTGTCGCGCCCTGCACAGACAGGACATCGTGGGAGAATGCGTGAAAAATGGCATTCGATGAACAGTGCGACTGTTTGTTCAGCGCCGCGCTGGCCTATATCGCTGTAGTTTCCAGGAAACGTCACCGTTTCATCAGCCGGGAGCGTAGTCGCGCCTGGGGAATTTTTACAGCTAAAGAGCATGGTTTGCGAAAGCCTGTCATCGAGTGGTGTCTCCGTGTCTCTGGCACAGCGGGGACGAGCCTGCGACAGATTTTAATGAGCGGATCCCGCCGCGCCGCCACATGCGTGGCCAGCATCGCGTCACCGCTTCATTGTAACGTGACCCAAACTGGCCATGCGCCGTAATCGTATCACCTTACCATGCTTGTGCGCTGCCATGCAACAAAGCCCCCCGTTACAATGGACCCTCACAATGTCACCGCGCAGTGCCGTCGGCTTTACAACCACGGCGACAATGCATCGATGTCACAACCGCCTTCACCCTGGAACACACTGCGATGTGACACGTTTTATGCGGTGTGCTGCGGAGGAAGGCGGCACGCAGCGTCTTTTCCTCGCCCTGCTGCGTTTTGAAATGGGTCTAGCTAATATGACAGCAGGGTCCCAAAAGCAGCGATCTGCTAGCCAGCAGGGGTATCTAGTCCTCAGGCCAGCAGCTGAATACGCTGCAGTCATTAACATACACTAACCAGGGGCTCATACTGCTACTGTTTATAGCAGCGAAAGGCCACGGCCCATTATGCATCCCTCAGGCCTGCATTGTGAAATCGCTCCCTGGACAGAAAGCCGGGGCTTTTTCAGTTTAACTACATTCTTCGCAAGGTGTATAGTTGAGCGCTGGTGCCACAACACAAAATAAAAACCCGATCCTGCACAATCCTCAAAGGCATCAATCAAAGCCAGTTCGTAAGTGGGTCACAGCAAGGGGGGGAAAAAAAGGGGTTTTCTTCAATTTTCCTTCTCGAGAAGAGGGGATGCAGTGTGAAAGGGGTTTAAAATATCTAGCTACGGCTTCAGAGGCTTGCTCTAGTCTCTTGCTGACCCAGTTGCAAACGTATGCAGAGTTATTTGAGCCAAGAGTCAAAGGCAGCTGGGTATGACGGTAGTCACATCACTCCCAGACCAGAAACTGGCTTGCCTTAACCATAGATTCATAGATGTTAGGGTTGGAAGGGACCTCAATAGATCATCCAGTCCGACCCCATGGTAGCTTGATGGCCCATTTAGGTTCAAGGAGACTTTCAACCTCCTGGAAAAAGACACAGCCATTTGTTGTCTTGACCTTAGGAAAGTCCAACCATTTTGGTGATGGTGGTGGGCTTTCTGACTTCCTAAAGTCTGGTCTCGGCACTCACAACACGCTCTAATTCCAGCAGAGTTCACCTTGGACCGGGCGAGTAGTTTGTAAACCTATATTTAAAGGGGTCAGAGAATGTCATCCCATCCAGCTGCTGGATTGAATGGAAATCTATAAGTGTACTCTGGTATCAAAATGCACACAAAATGGGCAGCCTAGAGTGAAATGGCTTCATCAAGCCTAAAGCCATGCATATCAGGATGCCTAATGCTGTCTACGTGGTTGCTTCTTCGTTGGATCCGGAGGAAGGGAGCCAGGTAGCATCTTTGGTCTCCGTACAGCTGGCAGCTTGTCTACGCAGGACACTCGGGAAAGTTACCCTTAATTAGCTAAAGGTGCAAAGTTAAGTGCAGTAACCACGTGGATGGCCTTATTCAGAAGGAAAGGGGAGTTAAGATATGGCAAACCAAGATGGCTTTACTTCTAAACCAAAGCATAAGTTCACTTTAACTTCGTGGCAGTTAGATGATTCTTCATAATTTGGCTAACGTCTGGCTAGATCAGCCTGACATGCAAAGGACTTTATCGACTTACCATTTGAATACCAAGTATTAAGGTTTCCTCCCTGCCAGTCCCCCGATGGGTTCCCTTTTGGCGTACCGTCATGCCTTTCCCATTTGTTATTGAAATTTGATTGCCAAGCCTTTAAAACAGATCTTCTGGCCACTTGCCCTATATGGTACAGTGCACAGGGAACGTAGCATTGGGCTCAGAATCAGCCCTACTGACTGCAGCACGTCTACCTAAGAGCTATTAGGATGTACTGTTTCTAGTCCAGCATAACAAGCTAGTTCCAATTATTTTTAGATTTTTTGCAAACATAACATGATCCACTTGGGTAACAGGTGACTTCTTTGGAAAAGCTGATGCTTATATACCCTAAGGGACTTTCTTACAAAGCAAAATCAGGCAGCAAATCCTTTCCTTTAGCTTTTCCTAGCTGCTATGTAGAACTCATGTAGTGAAAAAAAATCCATAAGAACCCAGGTGTATTTAGTCCCTTTAGGCCCCCAAATATTTTTTTTTTCATGTGAAAACAGACTCAGACATTTGGAGGAAAAAAGAAACAAAACCAGAAAAAACCCCCAGCACAGCGTTGCTCGTTGCTATCAGATAAGCACCACAATCTGCAAACCTCTCACCCTCCCACTGACAGCTCAGCAGCAAACACGAAGGATTGGTGCATTCCATAATTGATATTTTATTATTTGCCACTATGCTTATAAATACCTTTAACATGGAAAACATTAGCACTAGATTGAATCTGTGAATCGTTTTTAAAACACATTCTGAAAACACACCTACAGATCAAAATTGCACGTTCTATTTAGGTTTACTCCCTGGAGTGTATCTTCTCTATCTTTAAATACAGTTGCTTACAGAATCATTCGTTGTTGACATGACATAAAAGGCATTAACATTTTTTTTTCCTTTTTTGCTTACAGTTTTCCCTTAAGTTTTTTCTATCGCAGCAGTAGCCTTTGTTTTGGGTTTTTTTCTCCCTCTCTCTGGTCTCGCAGGCCTGAGGGCTGATAACTACCGTAACTAAATCCTTCTCTCTCTTCCTACCTTGCTTTTTTCCCCCAAAATAGCCAGTCTGGAAAAATTAAGAATACCCAAAACACTCATTAAAGTAAGCACTAGAGTTATTCAGCCTTTCAAAAACTTGGGCCCTAAATTTTATGGCCTGGATCCTGTAAGGTATGCCAAGCACTGAGGTCCTGATCTTGCAAAACAGTTAAACAGATGCTTAAACAAAGCACACACAGACAGGTGAAGCCCTCACCCCATTGTAATCTATGCAAAAATTGCCACCGACTGTGATGGGGAGTGGATTTCACCCAAAGACCTCTGCAAGGTGAGTGCCGAAAGTGTTCAGCATTGTGTGTGGTCAATTAATACAGTGCATTAAAAACCCCTCTCTCCTCTGTTCCAATACTTCTGTTCCATTGTTCCCTCCTTATATCAACACGATCTACATTAGTCTTTAATTGGGTATTTCCAGAACTCCACATTCTGTTCTGCTATATTACCCCCAAACGGTAATCTTCTTGATCCAAACCAATATCCTTCTCTGCACTTCTCAGAGACCCATTTCCCATATACGACATAAATGTTAATTCAAGGAAAACCTTTTTACTTAGAATGAGTTCTTTCCCCATCAGCAAAACCTGTTTAGACTTAATCTCTCTTTGCTATATCTGTTTGGCTTCACTTCAAAACACTCAACAAGGGGCCCAGAATAACTTTCTAAACCTTTATGCACAGTCTTTCCAGTTTCTACTTGTGCTGTGAAGAACTCTGATCATCTTCCGATTTGTCACCTTTGTTGTCTCTCTTTTTTTTTTTTACAGCTCCATGTCTTGCTTCCCTTCGTCTTCTAGCAAGCTGTCTGCATCTAACAAACTAACACTTTAAGTGAAGGTTAAGCAAAAAGGTAAGGTTTCTTTGCAAGCCCTTAGTTATCAGATACTGAATTGTATATACAGAGTACCAAAATGAGCCTTATTTACACACTGCAGTCTCTTACAGTTGGGGTTTTCTGTTTGGATCCCATTGTTGTACCCTTTGGACCAAATCCTCAACTGGTTTAAGTCAGTGTAGCACTGTTAACTTAAATAGAGCACTACCAGTTCATACCAGCTGAGGCTTTGGCCCACACAGCCAGTGCCTTGACACAATGGTTTGAATGTGATTTTCAACCTACTTTGCACAAATCTGGCCCCTACGCATGGTTACCCAAAAGTGTGTTATGTCATTGCTTACAAAAATGCTAATTGGGGTTTTTTCCAAATAACCTATCTGCTGATTTAAATGATCTTAAACCCCCCCCCAACATTATATTGTACAAAGACATTTTCTGCAGTCGAGAAACAGCAGTACCTTTTACATGTTACAAAGTCTTACCGTGCTCAGTAGAAATATTTGCATTGCTCATTGTTAATACTAACCATGGAAATTGTGGCGTAAAAAGCAAACACAGAATCTCAACTTACTTAGCCAATTGTCTCTGTTGTTAAGAATCACGTTATTTCAGTCTGTCAGCCCAAGAATCTGTTATCCTCAGAGCAGGAGTGAACATTTTAAGAGCAACTGAAACTTTGCTGCACTGGAAGTCCAAATCAAACGGGGCTCTGCTACCCACAGATTATAAAAGAATCGCTGACAAGCACTTCTTATTTGTACAGGACCAAAATTCTAGGTTCAAATGTGCCTACCAACCCTTACCTAAAATGCCAGTGTCCCTCAGCTGGATCATATGGATAATAATTATAATAATAATATGGATTTACCCTCTTTCCTTATGTAACACCCACAACGACTATCTACTTTACATTATAAAACAAGTCACAAAGAGAATGTTATTTCCTTAGTACGGAAGGTGAAAATTATTTTTTTTGGCTGTTTGCTCTTCTTTTATATGCCACATGGGGCAAGATGGCCATAAGTACTATGTCTGGAGACCAACTTACCCACCCGTGGCTTCTTAGTACAAGCACCCCCAACTCCCCCCAACAGTGACCAGTTACATACAACTGTACTGGAAATAGGACGTTAAAACAAAGATGCTTCACATGGCAGACCAAGTGCTTATCAAAGCCCACCTACAACATACTACGTATTATTCAGAGTCCCAGTTTCCAATGGTTTCCCCGGTGCTCCTTCCGTCACCGATTCTTCCTTTCCCCCACCTCGCTACAGGGATGTGTCCAAGAGTCAGGGGGATATTGCTTATTCAAAGGCGGTACTAGGCAGCAGCCTCCTCGACAGTGTTAACTTTCACAGCTCGTGCCATTCAGCGTGACCTTGGAAGCCGCTGGGCAGTTGCTTCGGAAAGTGCCGAGGTTCTCAGCCTTTGCCAAGGGACGCGGCGCAGGGGCAGCTTGCAGGCCGGACACAGAGGGGTTATGAAGACCTTCGGGAAGGCAGGAGTTCTCAGGCCCCTGAGCCAGGCGAGATGCTTTGGTACGTTCTCGACTACGTCCGTTTCTGGAGCTGTCGTGATGCCCGTGGTTACCTAGACGGCTGGAAGCCACTACAGCTTTCATTGCAGCCTTTTAAGACAAACGAGCAAGGAAAATTAATGAAGAGCAGTGAAGTGGGTATGGGCTTTAGTGATTTCCTACTCATCTATAATTTCTGAAACACTCTGGAGCTACAGGAAATGGCTATACAGGCTCTCAAGCCTGCACTGATGAAATCAAAAGCTCTAGACAAAATAATCTTGTTATAGCTGTTATTATTTCCCATAAGGCCAGTGAGATGGGGTGGGGCGAATAGCAAAGCCCACAGATAACTGGGAATTATATGTCACTCCCCCCAGAAGTGATGCAAGCACCTACTCTGGACACCTTTAAGAAAGGATTGGATGCTTATCTTGCTGGGGGTGATCTGGCCCCAACTGACTTCCTGCCCCTGGGGAAGGGGACTGGACCCAATGATCTCGTGATGTCGCTTCCAGCCCGAATGTCTATGAAATCTATGTGCTACATTTCTTGCTTCTAAGGATTTAGGATCTAGTTTGGGTCACAGATAAAGTGTCTTCTTACAAGAAATCAAATAAAAGTAGGCCAGCCCAGAGGGGAGGAGACAGAATCTTTTTTTGTTGAATAGTTTGTTTTAAAATTCATCATCGAGTTTCTTCTAATCGCACGAGAGCATGTCCCTAGCTTCCAACTCTGCACACACTTAACACAACTGTAAGCGTGAAGTCCACAGGTCAGTAATGCTACTCGCCCGTGGGGATCTTTGCTCAGCTCACCTCAAAGCCCATTTGCAGTCCCCATTTGTGCAGTGCATTTAGCAGGGAGGTCAATACAGACTGTGTTCGAGTGATGCACAGCAAGACGCTCTATCATTACCTTCAGTTTCCTTCTGGCATTAAACTCTTGCAGTTTCCTTTGTGTGCTATCCATGTGAGCAAATTTAGCTGCCTTCCCCGTGACCCAGGGGTGTTCCAAGGCTTGCTGTACCGTGAGCCTCTTCTGTGGGTCCAGCACTATCAGTTTCCGAACCTACAGCCAGATTTCAAACAAACACATGCAAGAGGAATCAGCTATGTGATATAATGAAGGTCATCTGCAGTCCTAGCATGGAGGATGCAATTGCAAGGGCTCTGGAGCTTCATGCCTCAAAGCATAAAATGATCACCAGCAGGGGTCAGGAAAAAAGTTTATCCCATACAGAATAGAGCACAAATCAGTGCAGAATATGGGATTACCTTCCTCTATAGCATTCAGCATTGCCGGCTGACAGAGTCCCTGATTCAAACAGCATCCTTATTCAGGAAGGGTGTTTAGGCAAGTGCCTAAGTGCTTTTATGAATCGCAGCCAGAAACATGAAAGAATATCAGAACCATTCGGCTGGCTCGATTTGGCAGACCCCGCGCTCCTGTATTTTTCAAAACAGTATTTTTATTGCCAGGTATGTACATTATCAGTTGATAAGGCATGATGAACATTCATAGTCAATGCTAAATTTGAATGATTTTCATTTATACACCCCTGCTGGAAGCAGCAGGAGTTTGGGCTTGCAAATGCTTCCAATTATTTTATAGGTATTTCATCCAGCTGAATCATTTTTGCTATAAAAACTTCTTTGTTGCTTCTTATCTATGTCCTAGCATGCAAGGATAAAGATGCGCTAAATACATCCTCTCATGTATTTTCTCACGCCTTAAGAGTTGAGGAATGCACTTCAGCATGACTGCTCTGTGAACCTGGACAGTTTGAATGATTGTGACATATTAGTATTAGTTATTATTAATAACAACAGTAACAACCGTAATTCAGAGCAGTTCCCCCAGAGATTTCTAACAACACATCACTATCCTCCTTCTGCACATAGAGAAACCAAGGACATGTCTATACAATGGTGCCCATAAACGTTAGGATGAATTCTTCACCAAAGATTAAGCTGAAGTGAGATCAGGCCCCTCCACTTCTTAGGTGCAAGCCCCCCGAGGCCAGGGTGTGCTGTCATGCAGCAAGTGAAAAGCAGAAGTCATAGGACAGAAAGTCTCTCTCCAGTTACCAGTCACAGTCCAATGCACCGCAACAGGTCTTAAACCTTGGGGACATCCTTATTGCAACAGGAGTGAGACTATATAGAGCTTTAATTTCATTACAGTATTTCAGTGGAGCTATGGCAGCACTGGCACCAGTACAGGCTGCACAATGGGATCCTGATTCATCCTCAACTCCATGCTGTTGCAGCTATGCTGCTGTTGAGTCTTGAATGAATTAGGTGCAGACTGGTTTGACTACCCACACGGCGTGCCCATCTCTGACCACAGTGCAAACATACACTTGGGCTTCATTAGAAAGAGGGTGCCATAAAGCTATACCAGCAAACTGTCCAAAGAGTAGACATCCCTTATAGTATAAAGAACACATCTGTCGGTATAGTTATGCCAGTTCCCAAAGTGAAATGCACTATCATGGCAGGAGCACTTTTTTGATCATATATATAACAGTGTCTACACTGGAGGTCTTCCTGGTATAGGAATGACTAACGGAACACTAAAATAAAATAAAATAAAATAAAATAAAATCACCCCCCTAACAGACTGCTATACTGACAAAGCATCTAGTGTCAACTCGGCTTGTTCTTTAGCAGAAAGCACGACTATATCCTCATGTTCCTTACAACAAAACATATGATTTCTTCCAAAAAACAGCATCTTTCTTACACTACCAATCTTGGAGAACTTACCAAGTCCTTGGCATTGAGGGAAACTTCATCCCACCAAGGGGATACAAATTCAAAGTCACAGTTCAGTATCCTGCTGTACATGTAATGGTCCCCTCTTGGATCAAAAAATGGCTCAAACCCACAAAGCCTGAAAATACAGGATGGGATGGAATTAAGAGAAAGGAATAGGAAGCTCTGGACAGTGCCTAGAAACCTTTTCTGACTCGGGGAAGTTAGCATGCAGTTAACACGTGGTGAAGACTGCTCTATGTGAGTACTCTGCAATGTGCGTCTACACAGGGCGTTAGAGAGGTAAAGTCTCACTTTAGCTTCCTGTGCACCGTCTTCCCTGTGCAGACAAACACAAAGATCTATAAAACTTTAGCAGTCTAGTAAAATGGTGGAAGCCCTAGAGCCTGGGGCAATGACAACTGCAGTGGACAAAACACTGAAGAACATACCCTAGGGAACAGGCTTGCATTGGCTATAGCAAACAGACTCGGTTACTTTACTTTTCTTACAAATTTCCACTAGTCCTGATCCACTTCAGCATAGAGCACAAGGAGAGGAGCCTGTCAGATCAATTGGAAAGCTGCTGCCTTGTTACAGTTGGCGTGAGCCCTGTGGAAGGCAAAGCAGCAAACTGGTGCAAATACCAGACCCGTTTGCAGATGCAGGTCAGTACTCTCCACGTACGGAGGGTGGTAAGAAAAGGAAGCAGGGATGAGTGGGTAGGTGGCTGTCAGCATTACTCACAGTATGTATGTGATGACACCCACGGACCACATATCCACCTCAGGGCCATAGGGACAACCGTGGAGGATCTCAGGGGCTGAAAGCATAAATCACAGTTAAACACACACACACACACACGTGACGGGCATCTGCCAACACCCTACGGTCATCACTACCACCTCAAACTGCTTTGCAGGCTTTAGTGTATTGATCGCCCCCAACACCTCTGTGAGGTTGGCCAATGCCATTAGGTTGGCCAATGCCAACCTCTGTAAGGTTGGCCAATACCATTATCCCCATTTAAGGGACAAAGGAATTTAAGGGACAGAGGAATGTAAGGGCTCAGCCATCTCAAAGCAATGACAGGGTTTCAGACTTTCAGAACTAACTTCCATTTCTAGCCACATCCTCTAAAGAGGTGGCATGAAGTCATTTAGGACCAGAAATTCACTTGTCAAAGAGCTTTCACTTTATGGACACAAATATAACTCTTTTCAATGAGTGAAATGTGTGTCAATGAGGTGCACAATTTGTTGTCTGGATGCAAGATCCCCTTGCAGCATTCAGGACGCAAGAAGAAAGCACCGGACTAAAGAATGTAAGAGCCAAACGCGAAACAGGACAAATCTATTATACCCAAAAGCAGAACCACAAAATTCTTCCAGGCTGCCTCATCTTCCAGCTTTGCATTGCAAAGGGAGACACCTGTGAATTGTGAACCACTTACTGTGGCTTAGGAGCCTCTGGCTGAGCTCACCTGAATCCCATCAATTTTAGTAGCAATGGCAGGCTTGGAGAATCTGAGCCTTAGTATCAAACAGAAATGTAATTAAAAAGAAATGATGGCATCTTCTAAACGAGCAGCCCACATTGTACCTTGCACAAGTTATGAATAATGTTGAGTGCCTCGCTTGCAGGAGGTCGGGGATTTGGTCCTTTCTGAAAATTGGGCCCCTTTAAAGGGGTCTCAGGATAGATACCCAGAAAGTGGAGCACCTCCATCACTAATTACTCGTGCAGATTTGGGCCCGAGAGGTTTTGTTGATCAATGGTGCCATTTTCTCTCCCACCCTGGGTGAGTCAGACTGGGCAATAGGATGGTTCCCTGTCACGCACAGCAGCAGCTCTTTGACTGTCTACCTGTCACCGCGCTCCACATGCCATCTCAGGGGACGTACGACTGACACGAGACACACCTTCCTCCAGCGCCTGCTAAGCAGATTACCGCAGTCCCTTCATTCCCGTGCACTTACCACAATACCCCGGAGTGCCACAAACAGTTTTCATGGCATCTTGCTCATCCACTATCTTGGACAACCCAAAATCACCTTTAAGAAGACAGACAGGCAGGAGAGGTATCATTAGGCTGACAAGCGCTGACAGCTTTCGGCAGTGAGAGCTCTTGGCCAGTGGCAGACCCTGCTCAAACCAGGGGACGCTTCATGGTTCAACCTTCTTTCAGGCTCAACTGAAGGAGCAATAAGTCCCTGCGGGCAGTGAAGTGGCTACAGGCAATGGATGCTACTCTGTGGGCGCATCTACATGAGATGCCTAATGCGCAGTAGCCTAGTAACACTGCACCGTAGCATGCGAGGCAAAACCTGTGCTAATATGCTACTGTACAGTAGTATTAGTCTACTGCACAGTAAGCATCAATAAAAAAACCCATGTGTTGGTGCTACTGTGCACTGCAGTAACTGTAGTTACTGTGCATTTAGTTAGTACTTTGTTAAGCATTAAGTACTAAACTAAATGCACAGTAACTACTGCGCATTAGTGAATGTGTAGATGCACCCAGTGTGCGTGGGTGTGGGGTTGGGGGCAAGGGGAGGGAGAAGGCAAAGATGAGGGGTGGGCCTGAATCTGAAGGAAAGCAGAACCCACCTCCTGGGGCCAAGCCCCTGCTGGAGGGGCAAACTGGGGACTTTTGAAGCAAAGGGACAAATCCTCGCTCCCTCCTCCCTCCGCACACAGCAGCAGACGGCCTAACGCTGATGGCAGCTTTGCCAACGTACCGATTTTGAGCGGGGCGTTGGGGGACAGGTCAGCGTACAGCAGGTTCTCCGGCTTCAGGTCACGGTGGACGACTCCGTTTTCATGCAAGTACTGGAGACAGAGAAAAGACCGAAAAGTGGTTGGGGGAAGCCAGCTCAGGTCCAGGCAAAAATCACGACACACTCATGTGCATTCCCAAGGCTTCATTTTTATTACACCAAACCGAGACTGCAAAGAAAGAGGGCTTCCCGTGCCAAAGGCCTTTTCTCATTGCTAGGGTTCTGGCAATGGGAAAGGGACTTCCATGGCGACAAAACCCAGACCGCTCATCTCTGCTCAGGCTTAGGCAGAGTTCACTGCTCTTCTCCAGACCAGCACAGATGAAAGGGAGAAGACTGCGTCATGCTCTGCTGTGCCCGAGTGCTCCCAGTCAACAGGAACATGCCAGTCACCTGGTGTTACTCCATATGCAACAGGCACAAAATATACGGTGGACAAGACACGTGTGATAAAGGACTGGGAAGAAGGGATTTGGAGGGCAGAGGATGGTGCTTGCAAGAAGGTGAAAAGGAGAGAGGAGGAAACAAAGGGAGCGAGGAAGGAGTGTGTGTAGGTGTGTGCACACTGACTGCCAATGAGACAGTGCACCCATGCTGGAAGTCAGGAGAGCTGGACCGCGCATCGTCCCTGTGCGCCGCTCTTCCTCTGCCTTATTCGGAGACTGCGAGCTCCTCCAGGCAGAGATGGTTCCCTCTGGGCAGCACCAGCCCTGCTGCTCCCTTAGTAAAAATACCAGCTGCATCTCATGGGAGAGCTCACAAATACACGGCTCGAAGCAATCAGGGTTGGAGCCGGGTACAGAGAACCATTCCCTTTGTGCCGTCACAGACTGCTGCTCCCGCGGGCATGGTGTGGTACCCGCATCTCACGCACCCTGCACCTGCGTATCCCCTTTCTTTCTCTAAGCCTGGCCTGGTGGCTGGGAACACGGCATCCCTTGCAGCGTGCCGCACTGGCTCGGCAAGCCAGGCACTGCTACAAACGCCATTTATTTCTGGTGAACACCGTGCCTGATGGACACCTTTGCCCCCAGCACTTCACCGCCCACTCTTGAGCCTGCATGGAGTGACGCGCCACGTCCACGGGGCAGACGAAGGAAATTTTCTGCCAGGAGTTTCCATTTTTAAACCCTCTGTTGCCATAGAAACTCCTTCATTTCATCTGACCTTTCACGTAGAGACACAGTGACCTTCCGAATACAAGCCCCGGCTCTTTTCTCTCTCTCTTTTATCTTCTCCCTCGCTGCAGATCGTAAGAGGCAGCTCCTCCAAACAATAGGCGTTGGGGCCCTCCGTGAGCAGCAGTGATTTTTCAATTGCACACAAATGCTTCTGCTGCCTGGCAGATCTCACGGCTGCAGGCTGACAACCCTCGCCGGGACCAGCCACGGCCATGACAAGCTGCCCCTAAAGCCAAAATCCTGACTCTGGGCTTCATGAACTGCCAGCTGCCGGGAGGGTGTGAAGCCGTCCGGGGCCTCCCCTACGAAGGGAGGCTGATGGAGTTCCCCTAGCTCCAGCCAGCACCGTGGGACTTAGGCAAGCCAGCACCGCGGCAGCTTGTTCTGCTTCCTACACGGTGCTGGGGTCACGCGACCACTTCACCGGGGCAGGGCTGTCGTGGCCCCGCCAGCACGGTTGACAGTGGTCTCTGGTCTGAGCTCAGGCATTCACAGCTCATCAAGAGCACACACCAACTACTGAAACTTCCTGAGCCTGACGAAGGGTTTTTGAACCCGAAAGCTTGCTTAATAACTATTCTCCAACTATTTGGGCTGGTCTAATAAAAGATATCAGATTCACCCAAGGAACCTTGTCAGCTCATCAAATGGCACCTTTGGACCTGACTGTCGGAGAGAGCTTTTCTTTCTCCGATGCTGATCCACTGGCCTCAGCTGCAGGTGGGCTGAATTCAGGGTTTCCTCAAGACCTGAATTGCGTCCTCCAGAGCTTAAAAAATCAAAAAATCAAGGGGTCTTGCATCTTGTGCCTCCAGCTGGACTGTCACATTAGCACCGATTAACATCCAGGATGCAGCTCAGCCTCTCTGTTCATGCAACCCCAGGACTGGTGCACTTAGCTGAGGGTTTTCTTTATTTCTAACAAAGGCCATCGCCTTTATCCCTGCAATGTCTCCTCTCGCACCTGCCATCTCTTTTCCAGCCTTTTATCACCCTGAATATGGGACTCGCCTGGGTCTGCATCTCCATGCAGCATCCTAGATCTCTTTTGCAAAGCACATTTTGGACCATACCGCTTTTGCCATCAGGTAGGGTCACACTAAAGAGACCCCGTGACAGTGACACTTTGGCCCCGAGCGTATCTATTTTCATCCCGCCTCTGGCTCGCTGCTCTCCAATTTAGTATCCTGCCTCTGGCAGGGGCCAGTAGCTGCAGGGGAGCCTTGCCCTAGATGCATTCAGCCTGCGACGTGGTAATTAATATGGAGGAGGGACCGGGGTGCAGCAGCTGTCACCGAGCGAGCTCTGACCTGGCCTGCCTCTTGCAGCCCCAGCACAATTGCCAGCGAAATTTTGACTCCGGCGCGTGCCTGGCTGCTGATGGCTGAAGACAACGTATGCAACAGAGAGAACACAGCTTTATTTTTAGACGCCAGGTTCGGCGCTAAGTGCCAGCCGAGCACAGCAAAGCAGAAAGATCTCGCTTTGACATGCAAGCAGAGCACGAGCAAGAGCAAAGTCACTGAGGCAGAATAAGCAAAGGGGCAGCGATGCTTCTGCGCTGGCAGGGAGGCTGCGCTCAGAGCACCTGGCATTTTCCTCGCTACGGTGTGGAGGGATCAGGATTGACAGCTTCAAGATTGGGGCTCTTTCTTTTCCCCCTTTTCTCCCTTTTCCACATACACCATGTGCCCCAGCCTCCCTTGTAATTGGGCGGTGGATCTGGGGAGCTGCTGCTGCGCTTTTAATTTCACAGGCTGCTGATCTCCGAGATGGGAGACGGGTGACCTTAACAGGTGGGGAAAGGGCCTCCAGTTAATAAAACAAAAGCCCAAACGCAGCCTTTTTTTTTTTCTCAGGTGCGCTCGGGCGCACGTCACCCTTTCATCTCCAGCCCCGCTGGGGATCTGGCACCAAATCTGAAGCCTGTGTTTCTATTACAGTGGCGCCTAATTGAGATCCTTGTGCTATGCACTGTCCATACGGGGAAAGTCTTTGCTTCCCAAGAACTCAGTCGAACTAGACAAGACAAAGAGGAAGGAGGAAGAAGTACTGCCATTTCCATACAGCCAAGGAGAGAATGGAGGTCACCCAGGGATGTCTGCAGAGTTAGGTGCTGAACCCCAATCTGCTGAGCTCGATTACTACACCTTAATAGCCAGCACATCCTTCCGTGCCAAAACAATGTCTGTGACCCATTACCACTCTGCCACCTTGCTCACCTCTTTGCAGTTTATCAGGCGAATGGGAAGAATAAGCGAGACCATAAAGAGCATGAGAAGAACTGCTATCGTGCTTTGCATTGCTCAGCACCGCAGCTCCGAACCCTTTACATGCGTCTGTGAAGCCACGTGCAGATCCGTAACAGCAATACCCCTGCGCACACCAGGGCCCCTGCCACGTGTTACATATATCGCACAATTAACCAGACAATTGCACAATAAATGTAAACCGGCCACACGTGCAGAATTATCACGGTGCCATAAAAATGCCTATCCAGCTATAAAAAGAGCCAAGCAGCTACCGAGTTAGTGCTTGACAATGTGTAACAACTTTATAGCTGGTTTTCATCCACCTTATTTGAATGTGTGGCAGTGCCCCAAGGCACAGCATTACCCAAGGTCACATTGTGAATCAGGGATGGAGGCAGGAGTAGGAATCCTGCCAGTTGGTCTCTTGATTGAACGGGAAGCCCGCTGGTTCTCCAGTTTGGCCGTCTCTGGGACTCTGCTTCCACCCAGCTGGGACCTTCCTCCCTCTTAGAGAAGGTGCAAGGGCCAGGACCTTGCAGGGCCCGACAATTAGAGAAAGAGGCTGACTTACGGAGACCGCCTCCAGGATCTGCTTGACCACGTGGGCAGCATCTCGCTCGCTGTAGAATCCCCGCTCCACGATCCTGCACGTGGGACAGCAGAGAAGTCACTGCAACGCTGCCACGGCTGTGCCACGCGTCGCGGCCACGGGCTTTGGTTCACAGCACGTGCTGCATGAACTTCCCCCCGAGCCTGAGACCCGCCTGCATGCTGGAGCTGTCCATCTACAAACTACCGGCCTTTCCTTGCTAGATCGTCCCCACGAAAGGGAATGAAAATGTCCTCCCCTTCTCCAGAGACCTGATTTTAGACTGCCAAGAAAAAGGAGGGGGATGCAGGGGGGGTAGATTCCTTCTGGACCCAGAAACAAGCCTGGAAAAGAAAAATCAAACCTGAACACAATTGAAAAAAGGTCAAAATGCTCTGATTTTGGCAGGGGGGAAATCTTTTCATTTAAAAATGCCCTTCCACTTCATTATATTAAAAGGAAAAGGAACATGTGCCCTAAGATCCAGCAGAGCATTTCATTTGACCTCAGACTTTTTTCTCCTAGGGCTTGTTCCTGAACCCACACCCCAGTGACTCCAGTGGGATTTGGGCCAGGTCGTTAAGCTCATTTCTGCGACTGCAGCACCAGCGAGAAGGGAGCGGGGCCACGTGCAGCCCCTGCTGCTGGCCTTGGGGTGTAATGGAAAGGAGCAGCGACGGATTTGATCCGTCTCCAGTCCTGAACGTGAGCTCACACTTGCCTTCCAAAGCTAAGGACAGATCCGGTGCATCCGCACCCCCACGCCCCTGCGCTAACCAGTAGACCCCGCTCTTCTCCTGGGGCAGGAAACAACCCGACTTCCTGCTCCTCCGCCGTGCTCATTATCTCCCGCACACCCCCAATATTGGCAGGCAGGTACCACAAGCAAGGCCACGCTCTGTGGATGCCAGCTCCAATTTACCCCACTGCAGCGGCTTAGCCCCTCTGAATAAGCGTCATACCCCACACTTTAAAGCCTCCCACCCTAATTGCCTTGCGAGCACTGCCACAGATGCTCCAAGCAGGGGTTTGCTTTGTTCCTCTCTCCAAGTCAGGAAATATTGAGGGGGAAGTGGGGGGAGGCCTTTTATACTTCCCAGCTTTGCAATTCTGCTTTCCTCAAGAGGATCCCAGGAGACTTATCTGAGCATTTCCCCAGTCTCAAACGGTGCGGCTAATTGCCTTTGGGAGGGGGAGGAAGGGGCTAGATTGCCATCGATCCAGCCAGCCTCCCTGAACAGGCAAGCAGGCTGGATGTGGCCCCACTCCCTTCAGCTTCAGCGGAGAGCTCGAACGCAGCAGACCTCTGGCCCAGAAACGTCTCCTGTGCACGTGAACCGCAGCCCAGAGCTCGGTGCAGCTGCTCCAAGACCCACTTCTGGGATCGGGCTTGAAGTCTTTGCAGCTGGCTGATATACAATTGCCTTTCTGGAGGCTCCAAGCAGTCGAATGAGAAGTCAGGAGTAGTCGCCGCCTCATCCCCTGCTGTCCTGAGTTTTGGGCTGGGTTCACCATCACCTGTCCTGGGTGTAGCCATTTTACACCACTTCAAGGCCGGTGTAAAAACACTCATCGCTACCCTTAGGAAGACGCAGGTGCTTAGAGAACCAGGCCTGCAAACCGTGCCCTGATCAATCCTTTGCAAATCGTCCGGCTTCCTGAGCTGCCTGGAGCCCTGAGCCTCGGCAGGGCCAGCAGGTAATTTATTCCTGCAACCACTCAGCCCCTCCTCTCCCACCTTCTCTCTCCTTCCTTTGGCTAGATTTGTCGGCTTTTATTAACAATGCGCAGGTTAAATGACAGTCTGGCGGAGTACCTGTCAAAGAGCTCGCCTCCCGTCACCAGCTCGAGGACAAGAGCAATCTCGGAGGGGGTTTCAAAGATCTCCTTCAGTTTGATCTGCAAAGAACAATAACAATTCAGCACCAAGGTCTACGGTGACATCTCTCTCTGCTGCAGTCCCGCGGTCCCGCGCTGCCCCATCACCGGAATTAGGCTGTTCTGCCAACCATGTCCATTACAAGACAGACGCAGTGGGGACCCTCGAAGAGCCATGTACTCAGTGCAAATCAATTTATTCCCCAGAACAGGTTAATTCCTTCACGAGATGCATTTGAAGGAGGCGCGGAGCAGTGAGAGGAATAAATAAATGCAGAACAGATTGCGCGGATGTAACAGATTTATTAGCGCCATCAGCACGGGTCCCCACCCTTTTTCCTTATTTATTTATTTCAGTGGAATATTTCTGCTGCGCCGAGCCAGGTTTGCTCACTTCATCAGGAATTAAAAAAAAAAAAGAGAGAGAAATCCATCGCAGCTTAGCGCAGGGAATCAGACAGGCACACAATGCGTTTATTCTCCCTGGGTCTTCAGGCTCATTAATTGTAAGTGGAATTCACTGTATCCTGTGAAAGCTTTTTAATTTAGCAGCTTCCCCAGCCTGGCGAGAATGACTAAGCTACCTCGGTCGCCCGCGCTCCTGTCGCTTCGCGAAGCTTATTGTTCTCGGCTTTCGCATTCAGCCTCTCAATTCTGCTAATTGGAGAATGCTATCCCCCCGTGTGCAACGCTCACCCCATTGAAGCTTAAGGCAGCTTTGCCATCGATTCCAGTTGGGCTGGGATTATGCTTGAAACCTCCCGGGCCTGATTCTCAGTTACTCGGTGCCTGGCGCTCGCAGCAAAAAGAGCAGGGGAAAAGCTCCCTCTGCTCTAGGGCTAGACAAAGCATGCCTGATTTATCCCTGGTGTCAGCTGAGCAGGCTCAGGGCTATTCTGACTTACGATCGGCTTCCCATAGCAGGAGGCAAAAAAACCCCAACCAACCAGCCACTGTAATGCTTAGCTCTATATAGCATCATTCATCAGCAGAACCGTGAAGAGGTGGCAGTATCACTATCCCCATTGTACGGATGGGAACACTGAGGCACGGAGACTCACTCCACATCCTCCTGCAGGCTAGTGGCACAAGTGGGGGTACAAACCAGCCCCATTTAAAGGCTCTGCTCTCCAGGACTTGCTGCCTCCCTTTCAAAGCTGTGGAGGACTGAGTTCTGGGTGTGCCCCCCGACTCCGTCCCTGGGTCAAAGGATGGGCACAAGCTTGCTGCAGGGCACGAGCCAACTCAGCTCTGGCTGGGGAAGGCCCAGGCGCAGGGGGGGCCTTGTGCACGCACATGAAGGCCTCTGTCCTAGGGTAGAAAGTAAGTGTGGCTCTTAGATTTGCAGCATGGCCTATCCCAAGCACTTCAAAATCATGACACTTCTCATATTCAAGCCTTCAGCGGTCCTGTTTCCAAGCTTAACTCTGGAACCAAAAAAATTACTTTTTTTTTTTTTAAAGGCGGAGGGAATCAGCCCTGTTTGCCTGGAGTCAGACGGGCAGAATCAACCCTGCCTTTTGCTTTAAAAAAAAAAAAAAATGCAGGTCAGGATTCTCACACAATCCCATGACTCTGGGAGCTGAGGCTTTCCGAAAACCACCAACCCCTGGTGATCTTCCATGTTTTGGGGGTGTTGGTTGTAGCCATGACATAGGCAGACAAGGTTATTTGGATAAATGTGACAACTCTTATTAAACCAACTCCACAGTTGGGACAATTGTTTTTTGCCAGCTTTCAGGCAGGGGCACAGGGAGAGTCGGCTGGTGTTCGTCTACTCTAGGGTCGAATGGGAGCTTAAGCCAATATGCAAAATGCAGGTCTGTGCAAAGGCAAATGCATGGCAGGGAAGATCAGAGGGGACGGGAGTTCATGGGAGGGAGATATGGCCAGGCATGGACCAGGAAAAGAAAGTGCAGCGTACGTCTTCACTGAGCGCAGGGAAGGTGGCGTTGGGTTTGTGTGTTTCTGTGCAGCGTGCTCCATTCGACTGCCATATTGGAAAGATAACACCGCAGGCTGGTATTTTGGGAATGTCTCATGTTTAGGTGTCTATTTTTAGCTAGTCTTTTTTTTTTTCCCAGAGATAATGGGCCAGTCAGTGATGCAGAAACGAGCCATACAGGGCACTGAAAACCAAGTTGCACAACACCGTACAAGGCCAGATATTCAGCGGATACCGTTTGGCATTTGATTTCAATGGCGATACGCCAACTCGAACGAACGAAGGATCTGGACCGCCATGAAAACCGTATCAAAATGGTTGTCTGCTCTAATGCCTCCAATTATTCAAGCCCAAAATCATTTTTCCAATCCAGTGGCCCCTCTCTCACTGATGCTGCCAGCCTTATGTCTGGCACCAGCTTGAACAGTGGGTCTGACCAGGTTCAGTTCAACTTCTCTTTCTAGCTGTTTTCACTTCCGACTCCTACAGAAATGCTGATGTGTTTGGCTCTCCAAGAACGCCAAGACTTATGGCAACCAGAACCCGCCGAGTAGATTTGGGGGAGAAATGTTCAACAAAAGGGTTTTAATTGCAAACGTTTCTATTCATGCCAAAGGAAATCCTCTAATAAAAGTATTATTTAAAAGGTACGAAACCAAAAAAAGAACCCAAGGCATCAAAAAATCTAAGTCGAAGTGTCCTTGTGACAAAGAAATGCAGAACAGGAAGGGCATCCTAGCCAGCATACCCCTGGAGGGACAACGTTTTCAAAAGCAACCTAGGCATCTAGGTGGATTTCCAGAGGTGCCTGCGACCCCCCAAAAATTTGTCGCCTGCCTCCTGAAGATCCCAGGAGATGCCTACCTGCATCTTTTGGCATCTCAATACCTTTGAAAATCCAGCCTTTAGGAGCCCAAGTCTCATGGATTTAGGCTCCCAAAGGCCCAATTTACATTTGAAAATAGGAGTTAGGCTCTTAAATCACTTAGGGTCTTTTGAAAGAAATGCCTAGAGTCATCAGCCCTGTTTTGCCACAAAGGAAGCAGAAAATAAATAATAATAATAATATTAATATCAATTAATGACATTGATATATAGTGGGTGTCGGTAGTGCTAGGGGAGCTTGCCTGCACAGTCCCTTTGTGCCAATACAGCAAATCTGGAATTAACAGGTCTCTCAAAAATATATCAACTGCCTTCCCCCCTCCAAGAAAACAGAAAATTTCATGGTTCTTAAGACTTTTGTGACACTGCGAATTTCATGGGGCTTTAATCATCACCTACATAGCCTGGGTGACAGGCCATGAGACCCTGCAGCGTAAGAGACACTATGTGGCAGCTTATTGCATTATAATAATACACAGAAGCGCTATAATTTTCCTATTAACTTCAAAAGTTTACAATCCTATTATCGTCTGCTATCAGGGTCGGTGCTGAATGATAGCACAGAGTGCAGAGAAGTCACAAGTGTAAATAATGAAATGAAATGTCTTTTTTTTTTTTTTTTAATCATTTGAACTTGGGAGCAGAACCTTACAAAAAATGGTGATTTAAAACCCCTCCAGCGGGTTATGCCGGTAGGCCTAGCCAGTAGCTGTACCTAGTTCTTGCATTCCAGGGGAAACAATTTCCTGTTGCATTTATAAAGCACCAGAAGCCATATCTCTGTCTTCCCTGAGCACAGGGCACAGCTAGGACTCTGGAGAACATGCGATGCAAACAGAGCAAAAAGAGGCGAGATCCGGAGCTGGAGTCAACTGATGCGGCTCCTGGGGGCATGGTTCTAGTCTCTAACGTGGTCCATTAACTCAACAGATCTATTAAAGAGATTTAGGCTGGTCCTTCTCAAACGTGGCGTGGGGCTCAAACTCATCGCACTGAAGCAAAGGGTAGTTTCCCTGCTGACTTCAATGGGGATAGGTTCCAGCTTGAGAGGATAGGCATCCAAGCCCCTTTGCAAGATCCAGCTCTAAGTGACTTAGGAGCGTGAGATTCCTAAATTACCAAGGTGCTTTGGAAACTGTACCCACTTGCAGAGACAGCCAACTACCTGTCTGCGTCCATCCATTGGAATACACAACCGAGGCTAAAAGGGTGTACGTCCAAATTAGCCAGACTCTAAAAGATCAAATGAAGCCATGTCCTGAACACAAGCATGTGCCAACGTTTGCATCCATTCAAGATGCCGTTCTACACACCCAGAGCTGCCTTCTGGACTGGGGAAGCTTTCCCATAGCACGGCAGCGTCCGAAAGCAAGGACGAAGGGCATGTGCAGGGGCCTCGTGCCCATCAGCTGGCACCAACCTTGGCACCGTGGGTGCCCAGCTCTTTGCAACGAGCAGCAATCATCTGGACAGTGCTGGGAGTGGGGTGCCCCAATGCTGGGCACAGAAAGCACCGCGAAAGGTGTCATGCAACCAACCAGCTGGCCGAAGCAGACACGGGGCCAAATCTGCCCTTAGGGTTAGCTGAGTTACACCTGTAATATGCCCCCAGCCCCCTGATTTGCAGAGTTTGGTGCTTCCTTTGGCTCTACCCCAGACAAAGACTGCAGTCACATCTGAGCGGACAGCGCTGGGGTTTAAATCTTGCCTGCAATCAGCCGAGGGAGCTTCCTGGGCCAGGACAACGGCCCAAAGCACATCTGGGCCTTCTGAGTGACGCTGAAAAAACCCCAATGAAACACCGGTTCCAGGCTTTCTACCAAGCTGTGAAATCAATTTACGCTGGGCACGCGCTTCTTCCAGGAATTACAGCACAGCTTGTACACAGGGGGACAAAGCCGCCATCTGGCTTTGCCTTCAGCCGTCCCTGGGTAATTCCAGAGCACTTTGCAAACCAGCCCCGGCAATACACCGCCAGGAAGAAACCGTGGGGAGATGCACGGAGAGACCCGTGGGGTCTGATCCGAGAGGGTGCAGACGCCCCCCTCTGCTCGGCACTCAGCCCCCGGGGCGGATCAGACACCAGGATGCCCGAGCAGAGCGGGCAGCGCTGTGCGTCACCTCAATTACACACAAACTGACAAGAAGGTCCCCTCTCCGCTGACACTTGGTGTAATTAGATCTGCTCCTGAGTGTTTCAGATTGTTCCAGTTCGACTGCCATTATCCTGAGTGCTGAGTCCTATAAATGCTGCGAGCGGCGAAGAGCCCAGCTGCTGGCAGCGATGACCTGGCGCGCCTCGCTTTATCTTCCCTTCCAGGATTCATTACAAACAGGCAATTTTCCTGGGTACTCATTTGAGCTCCTCCACGGAAATTGCTTGCCATATGGAAATCCCTTGGCTGGCCGCAGCGGAGCTGGAATACTTCAGAGACCCCCTGAAAAAGCTCAGAGAGTTTCCAAGCCCAGCAAAAGGCTTCACGGCATCGTGTTCTTCAAAACAAGTCCCGTGCACCTATTTGAAGCTCTGCTGAATGAGGCCTTTAAAATAAAAGCAAAGGGTGCATCGGTTTTGTGCACAGAGGAAAGGTTTGGTGGCAAAGTCTGGCGGAGTGGGCACCCCTTACAACCAGAGACTGATGCAGCTCAGTTAATTCCCAGTCTACGGCAGAGAAAGTCCAGAGGTCCCTTGATGAGTGCTGATGTGGAGGAGAGGAGAAGGCATTGCCACCCAGCCGGCAATGGCAGTGCCAGGCCCATGGGCTGGCAGCTGATGCCAAATCCATCCAGAACTAAGGTTTTTGAGAGGAGAGGGCGATAAACCATCAGACTGGGATTCACCAACCTCTACTGTCCTACAGCTGAGATTTCCCTCGAGGCTGATTGGAGCGAGGCGCCCAGTCGACTCCCGCGGGCTCTCCGGAGAGACCTGGGCAGCAGATTTGGGGGCTCACGAAAAATCCCCTCCTGCAGCAAGATGGGAGGGGCTGAACAGATGTTTTTAGTAAATGGGGAGAGGCAGGAGTCCCTGCCCAGGGCAGGCAGGTGATGCCGAACTCCTGCCTCGGACACCAGAAGCTTCATCCTCCCCAGCTTTCGCCAGGAGAAGGAATCACCGGTGCAATGAAGTGGTCGGTCAGGCAGGCTGGCTGGAGCGACCTCACGGTCCATCTGGGCCTGAGCTGGTTCAGCTGCATTTGCAGCCCAGGAAAGACTGGGCCCAGGGACACGGACACGGACACGGACACGTGGAAGGGAGGCAGGTAATGAGAGCAAGTCCACCCTATTAACCCCTTTGTATCCAAGCACCCTCTGCTCAGCCAGGCACTTGTGCAGCAGTGGAGGAGGAGGAGCAGGATCTGCCCCTCTGCCAGCCAAGCCGTGGAAGGAAAAGCTGGTGGGAATCAACAGGGCTTCAACCCCTGGGAGCCCCCGGCCATGACAGGCCCACAGAAAACAGACCCGTGCCACACCGCTTGGGGAAGCAAGCCACCCAAGTGCAGAGCACTGGATGTCCCGGCTCCCTGGACTGGCTCTAGCCCCCCTGGACAGTTCAGCTCAGCGGACCTGCCCATGTCACCCTGGATCCCAGGATCTGCTTGCACCAGCTGGGGCATTGGCCCCTAAAACACACACAGCCCGGGGGAGGAAATGCACATCCTAGGGGGTTTACAACGGATGCACAGCTGGGGAGGGCATCCGCGGACTGGGGTCACGCTCATACTCACGATGTTGGGGTGGGACAGTCTCAGCAGGACGCCGATCTCGGTCCTCACGATCTTTCTGTCGATCTGAAAACACACACATGCCCCCCCATGTATGCGAGTCTTTCCACGCGATCCCCCCTTCTGTCACCTGCGTACCCCGTCACTAAAGAAAGGTGATGGAATTGGCTCGGGCGTCGGTTGCAGCCGTGTTGGTCTAAGGACATAGGCAGACAAGGTTCTTTAGGTAGATGCAATATCTTTTATTGCACCAACTAAATAGTTGGAAAAAAAGTTCTTTGCAAGATTTCAGGCACAAACACCCTTTTACAGGCGTTGGCTCGGGTTATACCAGCCACCCAGGGTTTCTCCCTCTCCCATTTACGACCTGGACTGCACAGGGATCTGGGGGGAGTCCCTATGTCAGAGCACCCAGCCGAAACACCAGAGACGTGTGGAACAGGGCTGGGAGGTGGAGAGAGGCCGGCTACGGTGACGTGCGGGTGTGCGGATGGCTCAAGAGCAGGGTTTGGCCGGGGCTTCCCCAACTTCTTCACTCATGGTCAAGTTATGCTCAGCCGTGTCTCAATGGTGATGAGCCTGGTGTAATTTAGCATATGCTTGTTAATGAGCCGACTCCTCTTCCAGTGAAGGGGAACCCCGGTCAGCACCCCCCAAGCCCTTCCCCGTGGCATCACGTTCCCTTCTCAACAGCGCTCCAGAGACTCACCGTCTTCTTCAGGATTTTGGCTGCATACTGGGCGTGGGTCCCCTTCTCCTTGCAGCTGTACACCACGGAGGTGGCCCCCCTGGGACGAGAGGAAGGAGGGATCAGTGGAGACACCAGACCCCCATACAGGGGAGCCGGGACCGGTCTGAAACCTCCGGCCAAAAATTGGGGACTCTTGCAAATATCTGTCCAAGGGACGGAGGAGGCAGAGGAAAGGGCCAGGGGGGTGGGCTGCTGCTAGCTTTGCCCAGACCTCCTCTAGCATGGAAGACCCCCAGTCCTGGTCTGCACCGCTGTGTCCACACTGCAGACCTAAGGGGTGAGGGACACCAGGAGCCAGGAGGGCAAAGGAACGGCCTCTCAAGCTGAGCCACACAAAGAAGTGCTGCCAACCCCTCCAACTCCGACCTGCTTCCGGCTCTCCTTGCTGAAAGCCCTTTTAATTAAAAAGCAGACTATCAAGGCAGCCTAAACCCTTAAGCAGCTTGCAAGAGGGAAAGGTCCAAAGCACAGCAAGTGACCGGCACGGTTCTGCAACGGGCAGGACGCGGGAGCCCACAGGTGTGGAGACACGAGGGAAGCAGGAGAAAATAATGAAGCTGCTCACACCTCACTCCTCCCAGTTCACAGCACCCTCCAGGAATGGGCTTCAAGATACACCCGGGTGGGTGCTCGGCTCTGGGACCCCCCCCCAATCCTCCAGCATCGCTGCAGCTGCTGCAATGGGGCTCCCTGCTGCTGCTTGGCTTTGCTGCCATTTCACCCTCGTTGCTGGGGAAGGGAGCTAATGAGCGGAGTCGGGGGTCCCGGGGGAGCAGCGGGGACCGAGCTGTTCCTAGGCAGCTTCCAAGCTGGGGATGCTTCTATCTCAGCGCTGCAAAGGCAGCGGCAGGTAGAGAAGTGACGTCTGCGTAATACATTCAGCTGCATCTTTAATGAGGTGCTAATGGCAACCGGTCCCCCCCCCCTGCTCCGGCTAGCCTTCTGCTGCGGGTCCTTGCAGGCAGTTCCCCAGCAGCCAGGCCCTCCCCTATCCAGCGCGCCCACCTCCAAAGCCCCGGCATGGCTCAGAGCACGAGAAAGACAGGCCAGATCCTAGGCCGGTGCAATCCAGAGTCACTCTGGCAATGTCGGCTACGCTTTACAGAAGCCTCCTGCTTTACCCCATTTACACGTGTGCCCAGGGAGCAGTCCTGACCTTTCCTCCGCTCCTCCACCCCACCTGGGTCCAGCACCCTGGGGAAGTGCTGCAGGTCATGTCCCCCCCACCCATGATTGTATGTAGCTCTACTCCGGATTGCAGCCTCTAGGTAAGGGCAGGGGACAACAGGTAAATGGCCCAGAAGTCCGGGTTCCCGCTTCCTTTCCACAGTCCTGACTTCACATCCCACAAGGGGCCAAACCCTTCCCCAAGGGTGGGAACTGAACCGTGACGGTCTCTTTAGTCTGGAGAAGAGAAGACCGAGGGGGATTGAATAGCAGCCTTCACCTCCGTGCAGGGGGGTTGCAAAGAGGATGGAGCTGGGCTGGTCTCAGTGGGGGCAGAGGGCAGAACAAGGAGCAATGGGCTCAAGCTGCAGCAAGGGAAGTTGAGGTTGGATATTGGGAAAGTCTCACGAGGAGGGTGGTGAAGCGCTGGAGCAGGTTACCCAGGGAGGTGGTGCAGTCTCCATCCTCGGAGGTGTTTAAGACCCAGGTAGACAAAGCCGTGGCTGGGATGATGGAGTTGAGGCTGGTCCTGCTTGGAGCAGGGGGCTGCACTAGATGTGACCTCCCGAGCTCCCTTCCACCCTCATTTCCTACAATGCTATGACTCTCCATCCCCAGCTCTTTTTGCAAGGCCAGACACCAAACACAGGGATGGAGACAAACCAGGCGGAGGAGAAGGAACCAAAGCACCTTTCAAGCCCTCCAAGTATCGTCCAAACCCTCCAGCAAAGGGACCGACACAGACAGTTAAATCCCTTCAAGTTACGCAAGAGGAACCATCGCGGCGCTCAACCCCCCAGCAGTGTCAGTCGGTTGCCAGTGATTTTTGGCTCTAGTTAATAATGTTTTCTAACCACTGGACGGTGAAATCAATCCCTTTCTTTAAGCCTTCGCCAGCCTTGCTTGCAATTTCATCTCTGATGCTCGATTCCTCTTAGCAGGTTAATTCCCACCGAGTAATCTAGCAAATTTCATTGCTCTTCGACTTGCCAGTCTTCTTGGACCACGTTCAGGTTCTGCTTCAGGACCCTCAGCATCCTCCCCGAGTCCTTCTGAAAAATGCCAGATCTCTCTCGTTATGAGGGTTATCCACGTTCCACACCCAAAAATTAACACTCATGGGATCACAGCAAACAGTCCTGCAGAACTGAAGAGCGGGGATCGCTCCACTAGGCAGAATTTCCCAGATCTGTCCAAGCCCGAGCCCACTTCAAGACAAGGAAACACAGACGAACTAATTTTTTTCCATCAGAACTAGGGTTTTAGACAGAAAACTGTATTATCTGCTTGTAAGCTGTCTCCAGAAAACCTAGTAAAATGTTTAATTCCTGGTCAAAAAAAAAAAAGAAAGAAAAAAAGCAGCAAATCTGATGACTGAATATTCTTAATTAAAATCCAATATGTGGACCGTCAAATTTCTGTTAGAAAGTGACATTTTCAGCAAAAATTTACAGTTTCCCCACTAATTGCAAGATTTTTGATTGAAAAAAGACCTGTCCCGCTCTAACAGACAACAGTGGCATTCCCTGGGGACCAACGCTTGTTGAAAACGAGAAACAACCACTTTTGGGTGAAAATTAAAAACAAACAAATAAATAAATAAATAAATGAATAAGCAAGATGTTCGTTAAGCAGGAATAGGCCGGCATCTACACGTGCAGGCATTAAAGCGCATTAACGCTGTGTGTGGACTGATTTGGGACTAAAGTTAGTCCCAAGTCAGACTCCTGATCCTCCCTTTGGAGACATCCGGATCCAGATCTGGACTTTGCGCATCTCCAGTTCAGAGCGAGAGTCCCGAACCCCGCGCTACATATCAGCATTTAAAACTAATCAGCTCAGCTTGTCTGATAAAACACAACCTGCTGTGAGTATCACGCCGGAGCTCCTACCCTTTGTTTTTTCCCAATCACATTATCTGCGGCAGCGCCGGGCTCTCGACTGAAATTAGCTACGCCCCAGCTTGCCGGCGCGGCTGGCCCATCCGCTGAGCCTCCAGAAAACAGCCCTCTTTGCCTTCTGCTCCCAGCTCTTAATAAATATTGGCAATCAACCTTGACTGTGAATGGAGATGTAATTGTATTTGTATTACAGATGAACTGGAAAATGTCTAACGCCGGAACCAAGCCTGGATTTGCTGTAACCACTCCTAGCGCTGTGTGGAGGAAGGGAGAGGAGAGAGAAAGTTGCTGCGAGATGCTGCTGGGGCCGGGGTCCCGGGCTGCCCTACCCGTGCACGGTAGAGTAGCTGCGGGGGAGCATTTACTCTTTCATGGACAGCCTGCTGCTCCCTCAATGGGAAGAGGATAGAAAGTGGGTGGAAAAGGCCCTCTCCGTCTTCACCCGGCTGGGTGGTGTCTGGACGGTGCTGATCCCCAGCTCCTAGGTTCAAAGGGCATTAAACTAGAAATTGGGGCCGCCCTGAAGCAGCTGGAAATTGCACCTGAGCCCTTTCATAATTCCAGCACGCATCATCCCAATATACAAGAAAGCACAAAGGTTGTTTCAGGCCGACCATGCAAGCCAGGCCTCTTCTGGAAGGCGACACCTCCCTGCTAGCTGGCTCCGCCTCTCCCAGGAGGACTTCTTCTCTCTCCTACCAAATAACCTGCGAGGGAAGCCAGAGCTCTGTCCATCGCAGGTGCTGGCGGGATCATAGAGGAGCCAGGCTGGAGGTTACCTCTAATCCAGATCCCCTGCCGGAGGCAGGATCAGCCCTGTCCAAACCATCCTAGACACCTCCATCATCTAACCGCTTAGCACAGCTACCACGGCACCAGGCATCACACCCGAACCTGCCACAGGTAAAGCACGGGGACCGCGGCGGCCAACGTCCTGCTTCTATAAAGGGTCGATATACTCTCAAGAGGGCCCAGGTAGAGGCCGTGCCCCCGGCTACAAAGGAAGGCAAACTTCCCACCCCGACCCAGTCTGCAGCAATCCCTCCCTGACCCCATACAACTGGTGGGGTCCCTAGCACCTAGCGTCCCCGGAGAGAATAGGCCTCGGTGTCACGTATGCATTATGCAGAGCTGAGGCTGCATTTTTTAAAGTCCTTGAGCACCAGGAAGCAGCAATTTTAATTTCAAACGCCGCTACAATAGGAAAACAGTCCGCGTTTCCCAGGGCTCGAGCAAACACCCACAGAGCAGAAGGCACGGGCTTGCCACCAGATCAGGCAGCTCCTGCGTCTTGTGATGATATCTGTCTGTGTCTGTATGAGTCTTTCAAAGCTTTTTCAACGGGACATCAGGATCGGGGCCCTTCGGCTGCCCTTTGGCAATAAATGTTTGCAGGGAATAAACTCCCCGGTTGGCCATTTTCTTGCTCAATTCAATCTGCCTTTGGAACCGATTTCTGCAATATTGCAGAGCCCTCCTTCCCGCGCCTGACAAATATCACTTGTCTGTGCTCATTTGTCTGGTAATGGCCTTGAAACCATCCTTTATGGATTTTTTTTTTGCCCCCCCCCTTCTTTAAATTGAGTACCATGATTCAGTGCTTGATTAGGAGAAACTATTGGCCACAAATCAGGCTGCGGACGGTGTTCTGCTCGGTCAGCTCCAATACACCAGAGGCAGCGTGGCATTAAGTGAAAAATGCATGTGGAGAATGGTTTTCTATCACTTCGGATTACGCACAGTTGCTGGGAGGAAAAAAAAAAGAGAGAGAAGGAAAAGCAACAAAGGGGGTTTCCACTGGGAAGAAGGCGGGTTCACGTGGAGGAGCTGCATTCATTTGAGCTAAATATGTGAATTCAACGCCATGCCCCGCACCCCTTCTTTAATCGGGGCTTTGCTACATCTCCGTGGGGCCACCAAAGGGCTGGGAAAACATAGCGCTGTCAAAGCCAACATACCGATCCACACCGGGGGGAGGAAGAAACCTTTGATTGCTAGACAAAGGCATCCTGCTCTCTTTCCCCTGGAGACTCTCTGGGGCAGAGGCCAGCCTTTGGTCCATGGTGGGGTCTGGCAGGCAATGCTGCAATCCAGATAAATGGTAGAAATCAGAGAAGCAGGGCTGCAAGGGACCTCCACGGGTCATCCAGTGCAACCCCCTGCCCGAGGCAGAATCATCCCCATGCACTAAAGACAGGCCACGGCCCGATCAGGGGACAGACACCTGCTTTTCCCCAGGCTGATGTAAATGCATCCCCCAACCTTGCAGTCTTTACCTGGGGTTGCAGACTCTCCGTCCTCAGAAGATTGCAAGCGCAGGTCAAGCGCGCGGTTTGGCTGGGGTGGGTTAGCCAGGAAGGAGGCCCTGGTTGCATCACGCTTCTTTGGGAAATCAAAGGATGCTCGACAGCTGAGCTCCCGTGAAGGTGCGAGCAAGGATGCTTTGTGGGCGATGAATGACCTGGCTGGTTTCTGCTCCAGAAATCCCCCGGGTGTCAGCTGAGGATCCGAGCCAAGCTGGGGCCTCAGCTTACCCTGGCTTTGCACAGAGAGGACAGAGGGTGCCGCTCACAGGCTCCAAACCCCTCCAATCTGCTATTAGCCAGCGTGCTCCTAAACTCCTAACGAGGAACAGAGTTTCTTGCACCTCAGGTGCCCGTCTGCCTGCAATTACCCCGGGGTAAGTGAAAGTGCACCTGTTTCATGCCAGGACAAGCTCCCCCAGGTCACGGGGGGATGAGGAGCACGGGGAGCAGGGCTGGTGGGTGCTAAGGGGCTGGACAGGAACAGCAGGGGGTTATACCCCCTTTGCTCTGGGACAAAGGATTGTGCACAGAGCCCTGAATGGGCATTTAGGGTCAAATCCGGCGCCCTCCTGCCAGCTCACTGCTTGCACGGGGAGCTCCACCTCTCTCCCTTCGCTGCATCCTCTCTGATGAGCTACAGCCCAACTTCCCCATTGCCCCAGGTCGAGCATACTGGGAATTAACTCCTTCACTGCCACTTCTGCTGCAAGGCTGCTGCCACCCTCTCGTAGCCCCCCAAAGCCCTCTGAGACGCCCCGCTGCTCAGGGGCCTGCCGGGGTGAAGCCTCTCCGTCACCCCTGTTCGGTTCCTGGAGCCCGCTGGGAAAGGTGGTTCTCACTTGAGGACAGGAAACCACATTGCAGCGGTATCCTCGTGCGTTATTAAGAGCCCTGAAGTGCCCTTAGAAGTTAATGCAGTCGCATTTTCCAGTTCAAGCATTAGCTTTGCCTCATGCACCGGCGAGAAGAGAAATCCCCCAAAGTCTAAGTAAATGAAATTTAAATTCAATCCCCTTGGAGCTCATCCATGCTGGCTGCTCTGCTCTGCTCTCAGATGAGGCCCTAATAAATTCTGTGTGTCTTCAATATTAATGCCCGGTGACCTGGAGCTGGGAGACCCTCTCCACTTGTCCTTGGCTTCTGGTTTCTACCGGGGGGCTGGTTCTTCCCCGTCCCTTGGCTCTCAATGGCTCCAGCAACCGGGTTTCTGCAGCCAAGAGCCAAGGTGGGAGGCTCGAGGAAGGTCTGTCCCTGTGCAGGAAGGGGGGCAGACAGCGACCTGTGGCCTGAGCTGCCCCCGACCCGGCGCTCGCTGTAGATAAAAGCACCATGGCTAATGCTGTGCAGGGCGCTGGTCTCCATCCGAAGCCACCGGAGTCAAGAGGAGTTCTTCCCTCGATGGGCTTCAAACCAGGCCCTAAACTAGTCCGATTCCTTGAGGAACTGGGCGGGGAGGGGAACGGAGGAAAACCAGCAGAGCTATGTCCTTCCTCAATGCGTTTTCTGCCCTCTAAGGTAGGTACGTCTCCCCCTTGACCGCTGAATCTGGGCACCCTGCCATCTACCTGCAGCGGGTTTAGCTTCATCCCTCCCCGGGTGAGAAACAGCAGAGCTGGGATCCTCGTCTCACCGAGGGGAGGCAGAGCACAATCAAGTGATTTGCCCAAGGCCACACCGGGAATCGGTGTCAGAGGAGGCCAGGTCCCGAGTGCAGGGGGCTGGCCCCCGTGACCCGTAAGGTCCCTTCCAGCCCCTAACAGCCAGGAAACTATAAAGGGAAGGCCATGCCCCGTCTCCTCAATCCCACGAGGCTGTTCTCGGCTACCAGCCGCGTAGCGCAAACAGATTGAACAGCTCTTCTGTGCTCGCAGCCATGACAGGGCCGATCAGGTCACGGAGGAAGGAGGGGGTGGGGGGAAATCAGCTTTTAAAAAGAGTCGCTAATTATGGATTTACACAGCGGACCATGGCGGCTCAGTTACGGTCCTCACACAGAGCAGGATAAAGGTATAAGCGCTTTAACCCCCCCCTCCCAAAATGTGCGGTGATTTGAACGGCCGTCAGCCCCGCTCGCCAAGCCACCTGCACTCGCACTCGCACCCGCAGCTGGGGAGGAACAGGGACGCGAGCTCTTCCCTCCATTGCAGGTTTCTTTTTTTTTATGGCTGTTTAATAATTAATGTGATGCACTGAGCAGAAAAGCAGCAAGGCGAGCGAGAGGCTGGGGAAAGAGGAAAGCCTCCTACGGGGCGGGGGCAGCTATGCTCGTCCTCCAGCCAAAGCCCACACATCTGGGGCTGCAGGCTGGGGTCTCCAACAGCCTCCATGCATGGGGCATGTCATTCTGGCAGATCTCATGCTCTCCCCTAAGGGGTGGAAACTGCCTTACAACCCTAGCCCAGCCAAGGATGCTTATCCGGAGAGACCCCGAGCTACCGAAGCCGGTGGGAGCTGCCATCACGCCACTCTTTTTTTGCAAGTGGCACTGAATAGACGACCACGGCCCGAGACCCCTGTGCAGAGCATCCCATCCCACGTGCCCCTCACAGGCTACAGACCTGAATGCAGCCCCCTCCACGCTGCGTGCGTGGCCCGGCTGGGAGTAGGGCCCTAAACACTGCTCTTATGCAGTGGGCACGGGATCCCTCGAACCGTCTCAGCCCCGGTCCCTGCTGTCCCAGTGACCTCCCGGCCTGGATTGGTACAGGTTGCATTCAAAGGTGCCGGACACCTGCCCCTCCTGCTGGCTTTTATCGTGGGTGCTCTGAGCGGCTGCAGGATGAGGCTCGAGTTGTCCGATGTGGACAAGTGTTAGGATCCGAGATGATGCCTGCCCCGACATGAACCAGCCACATCCAGGGGTGCTTGCTGTGCTGATAGACGGGCTATCACAAGGACCTGGACTGCCGGCCCTGTGCCCGCACCCCCTGGCAGCCCCAGGGGACGTGGGGGGAGCAGCGACTTCTCCAGTAATGCGGAGCAAACACAACTCGCAGGCTCCTGTCCCGCTCCAGGTGGGTGGGGAAGAGCCCTTCACTACTCGTTGCATCCCGGGAAGTTCGTTTCTCGGCATGCCTCAGCCAGGTTGACACGACTTAGGCTGAGCCCGGGGTTGGCACAGACCCCGGCACCAGGCAGGAGCTACCAGCCTGCAGTGAACAGGCTTGCAATGCATCCAGCAGCCCCTTCATCACCCCCTCCACCACCTCCCAGACATCCTGGCGACCAAGCCCAGGATTATAACAGTGACAGCGTGTCCGCGCCCTGCCCCACATCATCGATCGCTCCCCGGCCTCCGGAAGAACACGCCGGTGGCGGCTCCCAGAGGGATCCTCACCTAACGCCCGCACGTGCCACGCACTTGACCTGACTTTGAGAGGCCTCTTAACCCGCCACAAGCCCAAAGCAACCACCCAGCCTGGCCCAGGCTGCTGATCCCACCCCGCTACCTCTGACATTACCTGCCCAGCTCCGGGCCCATGGTGTAGAAATCCTCCAGGGCCGTGTCGCGATGGGACCCGTCGATCCAGTACTCGGCTCCGGGCTCAGAGGTCGGCATTTCGGAGGCTGCCGGAAGGACTCTATTCCCTACCAGAGGTTGGAAAGAGCAGGCTGAAGTATTGCCCCGGCTCTCCCCGAAGGCACTCGGGCTTCAGGGAATGTCCCATGCAAAAAAATGCAAGTATTATCGGGGGGGACTAAATGGCAAGCTCAGCTCTGCGGGCACGATGTGAACTCTGCTCACAACAGGCTCGGTACCCCTTTCCCCCTGCCTGTCTCTCATGCTACCACCTTGCTCCCCCACCCCCCTTTTTGGTGCCCCCTTCCCAATCCCTTGCAAAGCTGCACCTCACTTAGACCTGCCCGGGCTTCAGGAAGAAGCAAGTGCCCACATGCCCACCTGCCCCCCGGTCCATGCGCCTATCCCTGCCCATGGAGACTCGCCCCCGGTCCATGCACCTATCCCTGCCCATGGAGAGTTGCCCCTCCAGGGAATCGGGCTCTGGATTGCTATGCTCAGCCTCCCGCAGGCTCCCGTCCTTGCGGGGTAGCTTGCTGCCTGTGGCTGCCTGCCACCGGGTTCCCAATTGCCCCCGTTTCCTTACCTTAGAGAGGGACGAGCTGCATGCCACGAATCCTCCCCGCGGTCCAGCCCCTGCTCAGCGCCCGCTTGCTGAAGTCCCACGCATCCAGGGTGATGCAGAAACCAAAATACACCCCCGTGCCCCCCCCTGCCGAGCTGGCTCCCGGCCCTGGCTCTCAAGGCCCACATTGCAAGCTGCCCCGGGCCATCCGAGCCATCCCGGGCAGGCGGTCTCGAAGGATGCTCCAATTCGGCTGCAGCTGGCAGCTCGCGATGCAGCCTCCGAAGCCCAGGAGATGCCCAGGCCACCTGAGGCCAGGCTTGCTGAGAGCGAGCGCCAGCCTCAGTCCGAGCCGTCCGGCATCGCCGTCAGTCGCCGGCGCGTGGCTGGCGCTCCGGCTGTGTCATTATTGTGGGGCCCAGGCAAGACACAACACCACGCCCGGCCGCCGCAGTCTACAAGTGACCTTCCCCAGCCCCTCCTTCCCTCGCCGGCTTTCCAGTGCCGCCCCATGGCTGTCTGCCGCTATGGCAAGGAGAAACCCAGCACCCCCGGCACACCTCAGCCTGCTCCTTGAACAACCGGGGTTATAGCGGGGTCCCTTCCAAAGCCCCGCTGCCCACCCTGTATTGCAGCGGGCAGCACGGCCCCGCTGCACCGACAGTCCCGGGTGCAGGGGATGAATGATCGAAGCCGGCGGTGCATGAGTGGCGGGGGGCCCTGATCAGCCCCCCACGTATCCCGATCGTGCCCTTCCTTGGCCTGGCCCCAGACGCTGGGATCCGCCCTGGATCTGGCGCTCGGGGCTGCGCTATCTGGCCCACTGCCCTTTGAAAGCCCAGGACACAGCGAGCACCGCTCCAGGGCTCCCCGCCTGGCTCAGGACAGATCACCCCCTTTTATACGCTCCTAAAACTGAGGTGAAGGGAGATGAAAGCTGGGGCTTGCAATGTGCATGGGGTCCGCTTCGCTATGCAAAGCCCACCCGGTAATGGCTTTGGGGGTGGGAGGGTGGCCTGCTGGGCCTCTGCCCATGGTGACCCATGGTTTCTGGAGCCAGCAATGAACCCATTTTCACTGCTGGAGGAGCGAGGCAGACACGGTTCTTTGGGTAGATGTGATATCTTCTACTAGACCAACTAAATCATTGGAAAAATTGTTCTTTGCAAGCTTTTGGGTAAAAGCACCCTCTAATGGGGCCCGTAGCTGTGAGAACAGCCATCTCGGGGGCTCGGGGAATGAAGTCCATGTTAAGCCAATTCAGCCATCTCGTCAAAAGGGGGAAGCCCCAAGGAAGGAAGGACCGGCCTGCCTGGGAGAGACGGGCTAGATGGGCTTTTGAAGTCCTCCCCACCTTCCTTTACCCATGCAGGAGACAGACTGCGTGCCCACCTCCGTCACATCCCAGCCCCTTGATGCAGGAGCTGGGCAGGACTCGGCCCCGGTGCCCCGCGCTGCGCTGAAACAGGGCATCGTCCCAGCGAGGGCAGCTTCGGCCCCCGCCGCTCATGTGGGAGGAAGGGCTGGGCAGTGGTTAGATCCTGGTCCCTCCCGTGGGGTGCTTGAAAGGGGCAGCGTGAGCTGCTCCCCTCGTTCAGAGCCATTGAGCGGTGCTGCTTCCCTGCGCGGCGGTCGCTCTCTTTGCAACGCGTGATTCAGCAACCCCGTGCGCCTGGAAGGGTCTGGCAGGGCCTGGTAAACCCCAGACACAAAGCTGGAGCTTGAGCCGTGCGGAAACCTGCTCGGTGGGCTGTAATTTGTGCCTGCAGAAGGACGGTGATTGCATTTAGCAAGGCGGCTCTGTGGCACGGAGCTGGCTTTGCATAAGCAGGCTCTGACTCCTGCCTTTGCCCGTCACCGGATGACAATTCCCGCAGTCCCTGGGTGGGGTGAGAAGGGAGGCACCGACAGCAAAGCATGAATGGGTCCAAGCCTAGCAGAAGCCTCAAGTGATGCCCGGGGCTTTAGCCGCGTGCCCTCAGGCCCGATAGACAAATCCCTCCTCCGAGGCATATGGGGCTTTAGGAGAAGTTGGTGCCGGGAAGGGACGGAATGTCCTCTCTAGCCCCAATGGGATACGGCCCCTTCCCCGTCAGAGCCCGGGGCAGCTCTCCCCTCCGCTGCGAGGTGCACGGCCTCTGCATCGCTCCCCCGACCCCTCCGCACGGGTCTGAGGCGCGGGACGGACCGGGCCCCCGTGGCAGCCCCACAGCCCTCCGTCCCGCGGGGGAAAGGGAAGGGAGCGATTTGCGGCGCGTGCTGCTGGAAGGCAGTGGCTCTTCCTCACTGACCTATTTTATGCTTTCCCAGCTATCTAGGCCAAGCTGCGGCGCTGCTGCCCTGAGCCTGCCTGCCGGGGCACGCTCCCCCAGCTCCCCCTCTTCTTGGGAAGGCAGGACGCGGAGGATATTGGGGCTGGGGGGCATCCCAACCGCTTTGCAGCGTGGAAGGGGCGGCGGTGTTCGCTCACTGCTCTCAAGGGTTGTAGTTTTGGCCGTGCCCTGCGTGCACAATTCCTGGCGCCCATCTGCCTCTAACAGGCTCTGCGTTTGCATGGGATAAAACGCCGCTATGGAAAGAGATGAACGGGGTCTATCTGATCCGGCCGGGGCATGCATCAGGACGCTCGCCAGGAGCCTTGGGCGGAAGGGGAGCATCAAGGGACCCCTCCCAGGTTTGCTCTCCATCCCTTGCTGCCTGCCCCTTCCCCCCAAAGAGGTCCAGCTGCTGGCATCTCTGATCTCAGACAGACGGCAGCTGCTAAGATATTACAACCTGGAGCCATCTGGACCAAGCTGGCGCGGCCAACAGGCTCGCTAGACATCCCGCGCTAGTGCCATCTGCCAGGCCTTCGCCGGGCACGGGGGCCGCTGGGGACACAGGTGGAGAGACAGGCTTTCCCAGCCACTTGATTCCCTGGACCCCTGAGTGATGCTGTACGGCCGTCTGCTGTGCTAATGGGCCAGACCCTCGAGGAGCGACGGCTTCGCACGCCCGAGCTGTGCCTGGAACAAGACCCGGCTCGAAGCAATTGGGAAAAGGGACTCCTGTGCATCCCAAAGGGGACCATCCCCGTTCAAGCGACTGGTGCCAGTCGGACACAGCTGCTGCCAGCTGTGGGGAAGGTTTTGCAGAGATTCCCTCGAGCTGATCAAAGCCCAGTCAGCGGTGGGGGTTGATGTCCAGTGGGAAATGCCGGACATTGTTCCCCACTGAGCGGTCCCTTGCTCGCGGGTGGTCGGAGCTGCTTCTCGGGTGCCTTGGGAGCAAAACCCATTTTATCTGCAGCACAAGAGCCCCTCCTTTCGCCTCCCGGCATAGCAAGAGCCCTCTGCCGTGACACCCCAACCCGCTGCTCCTATCCGAGCATCTTCCCATCAACACGCGGATTAGGCAGGGAAGTCCCAGGGATGTCCTGCTGCCCCGACTCACCCCTGGGAGGGCCAGCTGCACGGCGGCAGAGTTTCTGATCCCCCTCCCTGCTGCTTGCAACCGGCGCCCAGAAGCTGCAGGAGCAGGGCGCTTTGTGATTGCCGTCTCTAAGCCCCAAAGGCCAGATCCACCCCCAGCATCAAGGGATAACGCTCCCTGGAAGTGGATGGGACCAGGCCAAGCAAAGGCAGACTCAACCCAGCTCTTGCAAAGACACAGGGCAGAGACCCCCCTCTCCTTACTGGGACTCCAGAAAGGCAGAAGAGGACGACAAGAAAGAAATGGCAAACCTCATATGGTGGAGAAGGGCCTGGCATAGACCTTTGCAGGGGCAGGCCCTCTGAGGAGCGGGGGCACGGGAATGGAGATGGGTGCGCGGGGGCACGGATGCAAACGGTGTCATGGGGTTTTTAATGGTTTCACTGTCCAAGCGTGCTTTGATCTGCCAGGTGAATCACAGGGGCTGCTTGGTGGGGTGTTAGAGGTACGGTTATAGCTATCTATTTATTTCTTTATAGAGAGAGAAATAAAGATTTTTGCAAAAAATAAAATTAAAAAATGGAGCAGCCACAGCTCCCGTGCGGCGAAATCGGTATTGTCCACTGAAAGCAGCAAAGCTGCATGACGCCTCGCTGGGTCACTGGGGGTGGCTGGCGAGGGTGTGCGCCCATGGGCACACGGCTCCGGGCAGCAGAGACCGTGCCCCTGCTCTGCAATGCCAGAGATCCTGGCTCCCGAGAGGCACAAGCCCACTCCTGGGTGGACAGAAACCCCTCTGCACGTCTGCGGGGCTGGGCTCAGGCCCACGGCGTGATGCACCTTTGCACGCCCCTCGCCTGCATCCTGCTTTGGTTTCGGGAGAGACGTCGAGCTGGAACAGCGCTCGCTCAGTCCCGCCTAGTCTCGCTGGCCAAGACCGCAGGAGCTGGGATCAGAAACCCGGGCGTCCTGGCATCTAGCCTTCTGCCACGGGGTGACCACTAGACCACACTCCCCTCCCAGAGCCGGGGAGACAACCCAGGAGTCCCAGCCATTCAGGCCACTGCCATCCCGGCGGCTGGCCTCAGGGTGGCGGTGTTGCCCTCCGGATGAGCCGCGCCGCGGGGCTCCAGGACCAGGGGGCTGGGTGCAGGACCGGGGGGCTGGAGCCTGGGCAGGGGAGGCTGAAGGGGACCAGCCGGGAGGAGGCGGGCATCTGTGCGGAGCTTCGTGCTCCAGTGACACAAGCCCCATCCCCAGGCCGCGATGTGGAGTAGGGACTGGCACCCTTTCCGCAGGGGTCGTTGCAAAGCAGGGGGGCGCTGCAACGTCTCTGGGGTGCATCCCCGGCCGATGGAGAGCGTCACCTCTGCGGTGCCTGGAGCAGAACGGGTCAGCGACTTACATAGAGTTTAGATTATGGGCTGGTTTGGGCAGGGCTGACCCTGCCTCAAGCAGGGGGTGGACTAGATGTGACCCCCGGAGGTCCCGTCCAGCCCCACTTTTAACTACTCAGCTAAATGCTGAGTATTGTAACTGGCCACTGCGGTCCTTCGACCTTCCCCGTGTCATGGGGCTAAGAGTTCGGGCACTGGGTTTGTCGGGGCTGGTTTGCACGGGGCTGATTCTGCCTCCGGCAGGGGATGGACTGGATGTGCCCTGTGCCAACCTGGCTCCTATGCAATCCCCCTGGGCGCAGCCTCCCCCTCCAGATGACATCTCCTCCGCAGACACGCTGTTTAGGCCGGGCTCGTAAAACCGCAGACCCCACGGCCTTCATCAAAGCCTCGCGTCCTGGCATCCAGACATCTCACGGGCGGAGGGACCTCTCTCCATCGCGGCCCTAACGAGCAGGACAAGATGCGCCTTCCCCGCCGGCTCCCGCGCGCTGCCAGCCAGCCAGGAATTCAGACAGGAGATCTCTCTTGTACGTACAAGGCGAGGAAATTAATGCTGGGCTGAGAACACGTCTCCAGGTCGTGCCATGCACCAGGCCCCTGTGATAGGAGCTCTGATAGCACATATGCAAGACACGTGCGGCAGGGATTGCAATAACACG